ATAACTCTCAGGTGTCAACTGGATCGAAGATCAAGGTCCTATTCTTGAACGTCGGAGTGTGTGGGTATGACGTCATGTCGAGCCAATTAAATATATTCTTGACACTTTAGGCCAATTTTTCCAATATTCAGTGCTATTAGCCGTACGTGCCTTCCACTTCTCCTGTATATCTTTATTCGTAAAATTAGGGGATGATAAGAAATTTGGTGGGCGAGTGAGTCACCGATGATAAAGTCACACACTCACCGATTTTTCTCGAGCGGTTCAAGAATAGTGTTCTGAAAATGGTTGCTGTCTTAGAATCGCATCGCAATTGGAGAGAATGAACTGTTGGGGGTTGTTTTAATGACCAGGAATATTCGTCAATTTGTGTAACTTTTTAATGATTTCTTTTACAAAAAAAGGGAAGGTTTTTTTCTTTGCCGTACACTTACGTTTTTATTAATGGTAAAATGTACTTTCGCGAAAACGATGCGTTTATTTTCTACCTGACGACCGGAAATTGTTCACGTTAACAGATACGCTACGAGATCGTTCATTGTGGATGATAACGGGGAACCACCAGAACTCAGGACAGCTCAAGACAATGATGAATGATAAACTGGAAAATGGAAGAGAAAAGGTCAACCTGGAAAGAGGTATCTCGATAGGGTCCAGTTTTAAAGGCGTATTGGGCTCCGTGGGACTCGATGCAGTTAGAAAATGTTCTTAAGAGAGTGATGGAGCGACCACAAATGTAGAATACCTCTGTGGAGAGCATTAAGCCTGAAGTACCACGACAGATACACGATGATATATCGGGAGGACATTTAGGAGTGACGAAAACGGATAAAGTGCGGAAACGATTCTACTGATGCAGAAAACATGCAGTGTTTTCCACAAGCAACGGAGCAGTAAGAAAGAAGAAAGCGCCAATGAGGCAATACAATATAGGTAGTTCATTTGAAAGAATAACCATTGATATCGTAGGCCCCTGCTGGTAACAACTACATCTTGGTTACCGTGTGAAGTTTGGTACAAGACCCGGCAAGGAAGCAGCAAATGCAGCCAAACCACCACAGTACACGTTCGATGAATTTATAGCACATTACTCTGGAACGCAAAGGGCACGCTTTGGGGTTGTCCGTGGGGAATCTAAAGATTTGATTGAAGCACCAGCCGAATACGTTTTGGCTCATTGCGTAGCTAAAGATGTGATGTCCCAAGGTATTTGTAGAATTTAAGTTCCGATTTGGGCGCATCGTGTGCCATGTGTTGGGGGTGGTATTCCGGGGCACCGGCGTGGAAATATTGATCTGTTCCTTTAACCCCAGAGGAACTCCGCAATCGATTCGTAAGATGGTGAATGGAAGATGCACGAAGAGGTCGTGGCACAAGTACCGTCATCAGGGTCACGTTATAAAGCGGAGTCGCCTAGGGCTGAATCACCGCTACAGCCGTCGCCCTTGTTGCGAGACGCAAGGGTCCGTTAACTTGGTCCCCCCACTGCGAGATTTCATAGTCGTATTATTTTGAAATGAATGCGCTCGTTATGCGCTCATATGCGCCACCGATAATAACTCTTGCGCCATTATCGTTTTTTAGAAATCCGAAAAAACATTTGGGGGGGGCCAAGTGAACGTAGCCCCCCCCCGTACGTATTTTGTCCCTTGTAACTAGGTCACCTGATACATTTGGTTATGCGCTCAATTGCGCCACTTGAATTAAAGCTAGCGCCATTACGGTTAAGCCGTGACAAATTTTCAAAAAGTGGGGGGGGGGCAACTTAACGTTTTTAAAAGTTACTTTTTTTTTAACATCTTTTCATACGAAATTGTACTCTCAGGTATGCGCTGAAATGCGCCGTAAAAAGATATCTTTGCGCCATTATTGTTTTTTGGTTATCCTTAAATATATTTGGGGGGGGGGGCAAGTGAACGGAATCCCCCATAACGCATTTTGCTACCGGTATTTGTGCCACTTGATACATCTGGTTATGAGCTCAATTGCGCCACTTGAATTAAAGCTAGCGCCCTCGCTAGCGCCATTACGGTTAAGCCATAAAAAATTTTTAAAAAGTGGAGGGTCTAACTTAGCGTTTTCAAAAGTTATTTCCGGAAGTGCGTCCATTTTGAAATAATATTTTACATCGATTCGGCCTTCGGAGTAACTCCTAAATACAAATTTTTAAAAACCTACCTATTTTACTTTCCCAGAATCGTTTAACTAAAGCTCCCAAAAAAACACCCTGTGTGGTGTTTCTGAAACACTATAATGGCGCCAAGATTTTTGTTTACGGCGCATTTTAGCGCATGATGAAAGGTACGATGTAGTAGAAAAAACATGTTAAAAAACGTAACTTTTGAAAACGTTAAGTTAGCCCCCCTCACTTTTTAAACATTTTTTATGGCTTAACCGTAATGGCGCTAGCTTTAATTATGAAAAGATGTTAAAAAAAAGTAACTTTTAAAAACGTTCAGTTGGCCTCCCGCTTTTTGAAAATTTGTCACGGCTTAACCGTAATGGCGCTACCTTTAATTCAAGTGGCGCAATTGAGCGCATAACCAAATGTATCAGGTGACCTAGTTACAAGGGACAAAATACGTACTGGGGGGGGGGGCTACGTTCACTTGGCCCCCCCCAAATGTTTTTTCGAATTTCTAAAGAACGATAATGGCGCAAGAGTTATTATCGGGACGAGCGCATTCATTTCAAAATAATACGACTATGAAATCTCCCAGTGGGGGGGGGGGGCAAGTTAACGGACCCGAGACGCAATAGTTTTAAGAGGGGGGTATTGTAACGAGTATCCGAGACACCGGTACGCCATCGTATAATTATAATTATATCGGGGAGATTATAACAAACGCTGAGGCGGCGCATTCCTTCCTTAAAACGTTCTATCCAGATCGATTTCGCAAACCTTTTCTATTTTCCTAGAAACGTTCCATTTAATATATAAGCAACCTGAGGCACGTGTGAGTTCAGTTCCAACTTCGATCCATTTTAAGACTGTTATAAATTTATTGTTAGATAATTTGTAAATAAATAAAACCACGTAATTAAATTTACGTTACATGAAGTAAAGAAAAAAATTAACTCTAGATTTAAACAAAGTGAACAGAAACTAGAACACCCTACTTAAAACAACGACGTGTGATCCGTCCACTGTCTAAATTTAATGTGCAACTTTTGAGAAATTTATTTATCTACATTACAGCTCAGTTCGTCGTAGGAAAACCTTTACGCCAATCGTTCGAAAATAAAATTGCGACGTTTTTTCATACAATTTTTAATTAGATTAATAATGGTAACATTTGAAATACACACCTGCGCATGCGCGATTCTGCCCTTTTATGCCGTTCACCGGAAATGAGAAAACAGACGGACAGACAGACAGACCGATTGACATCATCGAGATTTTGCCCCGTTCGGATTCCTGATGGTGCTCCAAACGTGTATTTCCTACCCAATGCAATACCTTACTAACGAGAAGGTGATAAAAATAGCATAAATTTTAATAACATTTTTCAAAAAATTGTTCACTGCAATTTATGTGCTCTTCTATAGCGATGTCCAGTGTCCACACGATTTATTATTCATACCACAGCGAAATCTTTTTTACGTTATATATAATGCCATTATTCGTTAAAATTAGTAATATGACATTCAATTAATGTAAAAATATGTAACCTCAGAGTTCCTCAAAATAAAATCATTATTACCTCCTCGCATTATTATTTTCCATCCATTCAGTTAGGGGATTTACTATTATTATGTTATATTTATTTTGCAATATTTCTAGTAGATTAAAATAACGAGTTCCTTAATTAATTCATTTAGTATTTTAATATAATTATTAATGGATCGTATAAATGAAAAAAAAGAACATGTGATAAGGTTAAGGGAAGTATGGCAGATGAAAGTAGAGTAAAATAGGGCTTTTATCGGTGGTTCGCGGTTTTTATTACAAGAAACAAGGACTAAATACCTGTAGTTACTAATAGGTCTGTTTGCATAAATAACTGGTTAATTACCAAGCGTGTTATTTATTCAAATCAATCGTAACCCAAAAGTAGTAATTTACCCAAAATTACGCACAAGGAGAAATTACCTAATTGATAGATTAATCTGCTATTTCAAAAACTAACATCAATCAAGTAGAAAATGTAAATCACCACGTACTGTGACGTGTACACACGAACGCGTCACAGCATAACAATACACACTAATATTTTTTGTATTTGCAAAAGCGGATAGCGTTTAAGTGTTTTATTATTTCACTAGGGTGAACCGTTCTTATTTATCAATAAATGCAAGTACGATTATAAATTAATAAAACATAAATAAAGATGTTTATATTCCGGAAGAGCAAAATAAAACCGAATTAAACTGGATTTAAAGTATTAGAGTTCAAGTGGGAAATCATGAATTAAATTTTTAATAGAAAGTTTTATCAATTAAACTGATTGCACTCATACGACTACTTCTTTAACAAACTTTAATTTTTCCCTAAATTTGACCTTTCTAGGCTAATTGCATCATTTTTATTTGATGTAAACCTGATTAGACCGGCAAGAAGCTACAACGGCAATCTTTTTAATCTGAAAATTTACAAGATTTTTGTTTGTATGTGATAAAAAGTGTTACGTTTATTTATTTACTACTGCTTTAGATTATACTAAATCTTAACAATAATTGCATCAGAAAATCTCAGATCGGAATCAATCAGTAGTTGATTAGCGTTGTTCTCTAGTTGCTGCTATGCTTACGGCGACAATTAGTAGAGTGCAGAGTTAATTGTTAAGGGTATAAAAAACACAGATAATTTTTTGCTGTAATTACACGGACCACTATTTAATCTCGTCGATAAAAGCGACGTCAAGTGTATTTGCTAATTTGTGAACGGTTGCCAATGTGATGTGAGATAAGTAACAATTTCATCAGACGATTGCTCCAATCGTGAGACTTACAAGACTTACATCATCTTCGCGTACTCCGGAGAGTGGGGTATAAAAGCAAAACAGTAACCCAGCTAAGCATTATTACTGAAACAGTTGTTGAACGTATAAGAATATTCTAAATTTCGCGATAACGCTGAATAATATGGCAGCTATTGACTACTCATATTTTCTTAACCCACACGCTTCAAGAAGGCGGCCTGCGCTTACCAGAGAATTAAGTAAGCAAAGCCTTTTAGTCAATTTTGTCATTTTCTAATCAATTTTCTTAATAGCAAAACTGCATTATATGGCACCAAAAGAAGCAATTTCGCTCGCCGAAGGAATGCCAAACGAAGTTACCTTCCCTTTCGAAAAGATAAGTGTCGTAATGAAGGACGGATCAAGTTTCTGTTTAAAGGGAGCCCAATTGGGTGCCGCACTACAGTACATCCCTTCGCAAGGATACCCTCCGCTAGTGAATCTTCTTCGCGATTTCACCCAGCAAGTACACCAACCGCCAATTTGGGATCAGCGCGAAGTTATGATAACAACCGGATCACAAGACGGCATTAGTAAATCCATCGAAATGTGCTTGCAAGACGGCGAACCTGTAGTTGTGCAAAACCCGCTTTACTCAGGAACAGAAGTTGTGGTGAGTTTCTTTAACCGGGTCATTAACTTGTGTTTATTCTCTCGCTTTATTGCTCGTAAACTTATCGTTGTTATTGCTTCAGTTGAAACCATTCCGACCGACGTTAATCCCGGTAGATCAAGACGAAGACGGAATGGTACCGCACCTGTTGAGGAAAGCGTTGGAAGATTGGCAGACTAAGTGCCTCGTGTCGGATGGCGAATTAAAAATGCCGAAACTACTTTACATCAACCCCACGGGATCAAATCCCACCGGCACAACAATGCCATTGGAACGAAGAGTGGAGGTGTATCGCATTTGTTGCGAATACAACATCTTGATTCTGGAAGATGATGCGTATTGCTTCATGAACTTTGCCCCGACCACACCACCGTCGTTCCTATCCTTGGACACCGAAGGTCGCGTTTTGCGTTTCGACTCATTCTCTAAAGTGCTCAGTTCAGGATTGAGAATAGGGTGGGTGACCGCTGCCAAGCCTCTCATTCAAGCTATCGAATTGCAAATTCAAAGTTCCTATCTACATTCCAGCACCATGTCACAGGTAAACATGATCACTTTTTAGCGTACGATAACATTTTCCTCTCACTCACTACGAGCAATGTGTAAACATTTTTTGTTTATTTCAGGTGCTAACGTACAACTTAATCAGCAGTTGGGGCTTTGAAAAGCTATTAACCCACTTCGACTCAGTCCGTAACTACTACAAGGCAAGGCGCGATATTACTTTGGCCGCAATGGACCGACACCTGAAGGGTCTCTGCGAATGGGGCACGCCAAACGGTGGAATGTTCGTATGGATTAAGGTGCGTGGCGTCCCCGACGTTTACGATATGATTTTAACCCGCGGCATCAAGAAGCTAATCACTTTCGTTCCCGGCCAAGTTTTCATGGCGGATCAAAGCGAGGCGTGCAGTTTCATCAGGGCTTCGTATAGTAAAGCAAACCCTAAACAGATCGATCGCGCCATGTGTTTACTTGCGGAATTAATAAGGGATGAACAAGCGTTGCTAAAGAGGAAACTTGAGGACTGTACTTAACAACATCAGCGCCACCCTGGCAGGGTTCAGTTAGATTTTTGCATGTATCATGCAGCATCAGTGTACATATTGATTTGACGTAGGTAAAGTACCCTACCCCATAATGTAGATGAGACGTCTACCCTCCGAGAGAAAGCGCTACGAACGCGATGTTGTTTAAAATAGTACGAGAATGTTATAATTATGATTAATGTCGATTATTATTATTAAGAAGTGTACAAAATGCGAATTAGTTAAGTATTATTTATTTAGATCCAAGTAATAACGTAATAAAATCAAACCCTTACCGAATTGCTTTTTATTTTTCTAAGCCAGGCTGCGATATTTTAAAATCGTGTTAAAGGAAATGAACTGACCCCTTTAGCGAACCCAATCTAGAGTCAAAAGGACACTGATATATAGCAGATGCTTTTTCCAATTTTCGATAATTATATAAAAATTGATATATTTAGTAATCTTGCGATAACTAGAAATGTGAACGGAATTGATAGAAGAACGTCAAAGTTCGATGTGTGCTCCAATATTTCTGTTACGTAACTGGCAGTTAAATACATTCGCGTGCCCGTAGGTCAAGTATGGTCCTAATTGCTCAAGTGAGCGCATTTAGACGTAGATAAGGTAATCGTTTACGTTTAGGCACAAATCTAATATAAATGTGTATAATTACAATGGCTATTTAATATTTGGTTTACATAGACATTAATCAAACGTTTTATCCCAATTCTATTAGCATGAAGGGGTTTAATACTGGTCAATTTTTGTGATCCTCTACTTTGAGTAACTAACTACGAGTATTACAAACGAAACAATACTGAGTTCTAAAATGAACGGCAGGGCGGACGTTTCAAATAAAACGTCGGTATTACAAAAAATAGCAGTGTATAATCAAGTCTTTAAAGCACGCGCAACGAGTTTAAGGGCACGACGCAAAGCGGAGTGCCTTTAACGTTGCAAGTGCTTTAAAGACGAATTATACACGTGTATCTTATAGTATTTTTTATTATACCTGCAGTATAATTTAAAAATAGGAAATACAATGAAGTCATATTGACGTTATACTCGAATACATGTTTAATTAAGTGGGCTGGGTGTTCGAAATTTCACGATTGCCATGGAAATCTCACTTGACGTTTGCTTATAATCATCATCATCTTTGTAAATAAAACGATTTCCGTTGAAAAAGATAATACATCGTCCATTAAATCGCTTGTAAAATCTAAACAAACGTTGGTAGCGGTAGGTGTAAAATCCAAATCCAGTAAAGCCTATTATAAAGAATATGAAAAGTTGTTTCCATGGACGAATAGGAAGTTACTTACGAATACAGTCTTAAATGCATCCATAATGCTGGCATATATGAAGGAAAGGTCAAAGGTATTTAAATCTTCTATATTTTGGTGCATTCATTCAAAACTTTAAAACAATGCTGCGATTAAAAAGTGGAACAGATTTGGAAGCATACCCTAAATTACGCGCGTTTGTGAAAGCTTCAACCAAAGGATAGGTACAAAAGCCAAAGAAATGTTCTGCATTTACAGAAAGCGACCTAAGAGGATTTTTTATTTCATCCAGATGCCAGTTTCAAAAGTCATACTTGAAGTATCGTTACTTAGCAACTTTAAAGCACGTGTGTTTTAAAGGCCCTTTTTCGCACGCATTTGAGTGTTTAAAACGGAGATTGTGATTCAGGTATAATAAAAAATGAATTAACGCACAATAAATTGAACTAAAACTCAAATTTTTCTGTCCAATACAATCTTCTAGGTAATAGGACTCTTCCATTCCATGTGATATTAGCTCCATTATTTGCTAACAAAGTTTTCAGAAAAGAACAAAGATGTTCTTTGGACTGGATGCTCCGGAACGCTAGTGGACGTTCCATTACGCTCAAAGACGTTATCACCGTTCGAATACAGTGAAAAAAGTTTGTTGTGATGGAGGTATGAGTACAGACACGATTATGGAAAAAAGGAATTATGGTTCTATAAAACCAAACAAAGATATATACCTAATGGAAGAACTACAAATACTGAAAACCCGACTAGGAAACAAACCCAAATAAGAAAAACACTCTCAATCCAAAAGCACCAGTGCCAGGTACAACAACGAAATCTACCGAAAAGAACAACCGCACTTGACTACAGACGCCCATCAGGCATTACAGTCATCTATAACAGTGGAAATTATTACACACACAAGCACATCTACGGGCAGATTTCAAAACAAGTCTGTGTTTATAGATGACAATTTTGGCGTTTATTCGGAAACGACGTGGGCTAGAACCATGCCGTGTTTTACATTGGATATCGCATTCTAGAATCGTCAGTGATTTGAGTCAACGCGAGAGGCAAGGCGGTGCAGCCGCCGAAGCACAAGCGTGTCTTCTTTGTGTGTGGTAATGTACATTGTTGTCACTACAACTTTTGTCACGCTGCGCTGTATTATACTTTTACTTTTTTTATTTTTAACTTGAGAAAAACACATTTTAAATATGGACACACTGAAATCGAAACTATACCGCAATGCTGTCGTAGAACTGAAACATTAATCCAGGCGAATTAACTATTTTTTTTAGCAAAAAAAAAAGAAAACTGTTAAGGAAGCTTTCTCAAGTGGATATGATAAAATGGTCTATAACAAATACAAAAAAAATACGTGAGCAAGACAGTGGGACCAAGTTTTAGGAGAGAGTGAAAAGAGGACAAAGGGGTGATAATCTTATGATGGCAATTTCCGACAAAATTTGAGATCAGAGACAAATTCAAGTGTTCAATGGAAAAGTTGTATATCGTGAAAAACAATTTTCTTTCCAGTCACTTTCTCGCATAACCGCGAAAAACAATTTTGTTGTTGTTTATTGTTCATTTCCGCAAATACGCTTTTCTTTTAACGATACTTGGTTGAAAAATACTTTTTTGTGATTTAAATAACTACAAATTTTTTCAATATAAAAAATTAAGAGGTTTGCGAAAAAATGAAAATTGCCTTTTACAGATTTATCGTAGGGAGTTCCATTTGTATCATTGTCTTCATTTTTATGTAGACTTTTTGATGAAATAAAAAAAATTATAATCTCTATTGAAGAAGCTTAAAAAAACGAAAAAACTCCAAAAACGACTTCAGTAGCATTGAATTTTCTAGTCAATGTTGATAATTTGTTTCAATTCTGATAATTTGTCAAAAACTGATTTTTTTTTCATTCTACGGGAAAAAAATACAAAGGAACCTATATTTGTTTCTTGATAGTAGGTATTATTAGAAATATTCAAATGTATAATTTTTGTGTGCTGAAATATACTATACCTACTGGAAATTTTGAAAACGGAATGACATTATGTGGGCACAAAGAATTAGACTCCATTCCCCTTTCCACATTTCGAGATTGCGATTGTTAGAAGCCAGTGGAGTGACAGGAGTGTGTTAGTCCCTTCGAAGCAAGGCCCAAGCTCACATACAATTCAAATATATAGATGTTTGTACTCCTGGAGACGCTTACCACAAAACACGTGCGATAGAAACTACTCTGCAATGGAAAGTTTGGGGAGCTTTTCAGCACCATCATCCTTGGTAAAAATGAATCTGAAGAGACTTCTTGTGAAATGGTGTAGTATGGTTCTTGTTTCGATGTTGAACATCAATTATCTGAGGAATTCAGCTTGAAGAACAGGACCAATTTGAGAATGATGGAGATTCAGTTCTCTAAATGATGAAAAAGGCAAGATTAAAGGTCCACGTAAACCGACGCGGACATGCGGACGCGTGAGCGGGAGCGGTACGGATGCGGGAAATATTTCTACAGCGATATACGTGCGAACCGCCGCATCGGTGTGCGTGCTCGCATATCCCGCTGTAGAAATATTTCCCGCATGCGGTACCGCTTCCGCTCCCGCGTCCTCATGTCCGCGTCGGTTTGCGTAAACCTTCTACCCAATTATGAAACCCAAGTGAACTAAGTAATTTCGAATTAAATAAATTATCAAAATCCTTCAGCGCAATTTTGTGTGGCAGATCAGTATTCTATTTGCTACCACATTCTCTTTCTCGGTACCCCTACTCACTTCTGAAGCCCCCACAGTCATATAAATGCGCCAGTTTATTGAATTTCGCTCAAATCCCTCCACAAAATAGTATTTAATATTTGGGAGACACTAAAATCACCACGTTAGTACACGCTCGGGGATGGCGCCCAGATGTCGCTTACGCCACATCATGTAGCTCCGTCCCTACAGTTGTTAATTCTACGCCTCCGGTAGGTACACTCCTTGTCTTTATACAAGCGTTCTTCTAGAGGCGTGCATTTTCTTCCAACCAGCTAGCCAGCCAACCGCCCGGCAAAAGTAAGATTCCAAGCTACCTTTTTACAAATAAATTTGCAAAAAAGCGCAAAAAATTGGAAAAGATTCTTATTTTTCATATGAAGCTCTATTATGGGACCTAAATATTTATGATAATACTATAAAGAAAGAAATATACCTGTTCTTTTGTATTTTTTCCCGTAGAATCGAATGCTGAAATCAGTTTTTGACAAATTTCCAAAATTTAAACAAACATTTACTAGAACATTCAATGTTACTGAAGTCGTTTTTGGAGTTTTTTCGTTTTTTGAGCGTCTACTTTTGCAGATTGAATTTGATTTCGTCATTCTCATTAAGAAAAGTAAGGATCCGTCTTCAATTTGGGAGGCCGATGCGAATAAGATCATACAATTCCTCGCAAATATTAACAAAGACCAAGAGTTGAAAGCTTGGACGAAGATATGGAAGAGAGTAATTAGAAATTACGTTAGGTATAATCTATAATCTATAAATCTATAAATCTTATTACTTTGTCACACTAACTTTCAGTTTCTGTCAATAGACGGGGTCGGAACGCCGCAATTCTGTGGATTCCTCACGGATTCTCTGTGCCCAGTAATCGAGGAACACAAATCGATTTCAATATCGATATGAATGGCAGGCAAAAAATTACAAAATACACTATCCGAGATTCTCAGCAGTGGGTATTCTTCCACCTGGGAAAATAGTCCTAACAAGCAGAGCAATGGATAGAATAGAGGGCGTCCAAAGGTATAGGTATACAGCCGTACACCCATTTGTATTCGCCATTGCAGAGAATCTTACAGAACTAGGAAAAGTTTTTGTTTATTTCGACGACATGTAGTTTAAATTTTATAACATAATACGCGCAACGGACTACTTTCTTATTTCTTATGGACACCATGTTAGATTTTACATAAATTTATAAGGATTTCAAAATCAAAAGCTTTACATTCATTTCTCAACAAAACATCC